GTAAGGATTTTATTTTGCCACAAGTATTTATAAACGGCAGTAAAAATGTCGTTAATTTTTCAGAATATTTAAATTTAAGAACGCTCATTAATATATTTCAGGCTAAACTGAGAGACAAGGTAAACTATGGAAGATCCTAAGTGACGTAATTTAATGTCTAATAGACGAAAGTGAATAAATGTTGCACTGTTTTGTTGAAATTATATTTTATGATTTAATTATTATTTGTATAATAATTACATGAAAATCTTTCTCCGTCTTCCTAGTCTGGCACAAGATTAAATTAATATAGTTTTCGCTGTTTAAGTTTCCATCAACTAATTTTCTTTTGCGATCTTTCATCTCATCTGTGGAGTGAGTTGCCAATGTCAAATGTAAAATAAATGATAAAAGAATTAACAAATTTGCAATAAAAAGAAAAAGAAATAGGGTAAAAGTATATAATAATAATAATACTACCAAGTAAGTGTATCTACTTGACCCCACCCACACTGAGTCAGGTTGTGACACAAGGTCAGTTTTTAACGTGGGGACCCGCATGTTTTCATTCGGGCGGCTGGTCCAAGCTGGTCTTAGCTGGTCATAGCTTGTCCAAGCTGGTCAGAGCTGGTCTAAGCTTGTCATAGCATAGTCATTGGCTTTTCCTAGCTGGTCCAGACGGAGCCGGTCCAAGATAGTCCTAGCCGTGATACCACCAGCACAGGGACGAGCCCTGTGCCAGCTAAGTATAATACCAAGTAAGTAAGGAAACAAGCAAACAATATATGCAAGGCAAATTAACAGCAATAAGGCAAAAAGTTCCCAAACTAAGAATAGGTCGACACACAAAAGCAATTTCAGACAAGCGAACATCACGTTCTGACTTTTGGACAAGTCAGATTTGGTCAGAGACAAACTACAAACCGGCTTTATTTTGCCTAAGAAAAAAATCCCATAATGCATTTGTGCGCTTTCGCCTATATAAGATTGGGGGAGTGTTCTACAGGTATTTCTAATGGGATTCTTTTTTTTTTTTTTGAACTCGTTCATTTGCGAATTTTGTCCACGTATTACCCCGTGTTGTAGTATTTTATTTGCCATTTGTTTGTCTGTCATGAATTTTCTCTTGTGTGTGCTGGCGTGGGAACCCTTCCGCTATGGCAGAGTCTACCTAACAGCAGCCAACGTCAGCAGCCCTGCACTATCAATTGGCCGAAGAAAAAGGGCCCGGAGGACTAAGTTGCCCTACAGGAGAAATACGCTTCCTGCAACAAAGCTAACGAGTTCTTTACAATCCCCGAGGCCCTGGAGGCTGTTACCACCAGAACAATATCCCTGCTGATGACCGGCGTGAAAACACGGCGGATCATTGGTGTCAGCAGGGACACCATGGAGGAGGCTCACAAAAGACACCAAGTACAGCCTAAGGTCCTTGCAAAGATGTCTGCTGCATTGTGGGATACCCTGTTAGAAAGTAAAGAGGAAGCCAAAAACAACTGACAAGCAGCGTATTGAGGACAAGCCAGCACAACTGCTGACTGAATATATGGGCAGCCGGAGGAAAAGGGTTGCGCTACACGAGGTGCCTGTGGTTCTCACAGAGGAACGACTGGAGGTTTCTTCTCTAGATTTGGACAGATCGGATATAATTCGACCATTTCCAGCAAGGCAGGCTTAGCAACTGGAGACTATGTCCTGTAGATAACCATAACCAGAAAAAGCTTCATGGACATCAACGACACACTAGCTTGTCTATAAAATAAAAAATTGCCTCATATGGGGAACACGTTTATTTCTACCGACGAGATTTGTTAGTTTTATTCAACCCCGGTATAGAGTGAGTTCGTGTCGGAATTAGAAATTTCATTGTAGGATTTTAATTAAATTTTCAGGACGTATTTACACACACACACACACACACACACACACACACACACACACACACACACACACACATATATATATATATATATATATATATATATATATATATAATATCACGTTAAATGTGTTTTATATCAACTCTTCAGATCGATTTACGGAGGAGATTTCGACCTGAAGAGTTGAATATCTCGGTGTTCACGAAAGAAATTTATAATCGAAATAGATAATTAAAGTCTCCGTCTTCTTACTATCATTATAATGCTCTTTAGTCTATATTGAGTTCTCCCTGGATTTATATCCTCCTAGGAATTATCCTTTCCAGTCACAAACTGGTATGACGTGTATATATATATATATATATATATATATATATATATATATATATATATATTCTCATCCACGGACAGACTGTTTCACTGTATCACACCTCACCAGTGTGGCTAAACGCCTGGTTGCCTCTAGCTAGGATCGAAACCCGACTAGGCCGGAATATTTTGGTCATAGTAAAAGGTCACCGTCCCTACTGCTGCTCCTGTAGTGCCATGGGCACTTATCAAAGGTGTGCCCTGGGGAGAACCCGGCATCGATAAAAGCAACACCAACATCGTCAAAAAGAAGAAGTGGGAGCAGAAAAGTCCGGCTAGGACCCTAGTGCCTCCAATGAGTGGATGCCAATAGTGGATGGATGTAGTGAGGATGGGATGGGAACAAAGGCTGCTACCCCTCCTCACCAGCAGGATGTCCCACCAAAAAAGGCTGAGAAAGATGGCAAAACAGCAGCAACTAAAGGAGAAGCAGCAGCAGCCGAAAGAGTAGCGACGGAAGGAGCCACAAAAAAAAAAAAAAAAAAAAAGCGGTAACAACAAAAACAGTGTCTATGTCGATGACCGTTGGGAGGCGGTTGATCATAGCGGATATTCTATAAAAAGAATACCCGCTCGGCCCGGTGGCTAGGATCAAAGTGTAGTATCTGCGCTTTGTGAGCTGCCGGGTCGGGTGTCTGTCGAACTCTCTGCTTGCAACCCGGACGAAACTGCGCCGAAGGGTAGGGTTTCGTTGGGGGAGGTTGACGGAACTGTCCCGCCTCGGCGGGTTTGGGTGGTTATTTATTTTTGGCTGGGCCTACGGGCTCAGAGATACCCACATTAAAAAGGCCTTGTGCCACATTCGATCCCTGTGGGTGGATTGATAAATACCATCATAGTGGATATTGCCGTGAACAGTGTTTTGTTTCGAAACGTTGCGGTGTATGCGTTCAATGAAAAGAAGGAGCGTGTCTCCATTTTTCTTTTGCGTCAGTTGAGACCGTTCTTCTTCACACGCCTACTACTTTGGTCTTCAGGATCTCCCGTTTTGTGACTATGTCGGCGAGTTGACGGCTCGTATAGATCCCGAACATCTTGTGCCCATCGATCTCGTCTACGCGTGCGATAATGTGTCGCCCCCGTATTCTGCAGTGAAACGAATAGTGTTTCTAATGTTGCCAGCTGTGACAAGTATAGTGCTATGGGCGTCGCGAATGGAAGGAATCTTGCTATAGGAACACTATTCTCATCAGGATCTGGTCGGATTAAGCTCAAGATGAATATCAGAACTGATAAAAAAAACGTTTGTTACCGACAGATTTCAGCGAAAGGTGGGTGAAAGTGGCGAGCTTCGTTCGAGTGAACGGGACCAGCTTGATTTTCTTTTTAAAACATGGCCTGTGGAACTAGAACAGTCTACCACAGTGGGCGAAATAAAGAGGTAAGTTCGACATTCCAACTACCTGAAGAAGGCCGGAGCGTACAACGGCCGAAACGTTGTAATAAATATGGCGACAAAGATGAGGACAATAGTCCGAATAATGTAAATAATGTACATAAAAAAAAATCTCAGAAATATAGACAGATACTGAAGGGCCGAAACGTTGTAATAAATATGGCGACAAAGATGAGGACAATAGTCCGAATAATGTAAATAATGTACATAATACCTCATCTCAGAAATATAGACAGATATTGAAAGGCCGAAACGTTGTAATAAATATGGCGACAAAGATGAGGACAATAGTCCGAATAATGTAAATAATGTACATAATACCTCATCTCAGAAATATAGACAGATATATGCAAACATTTACATATATGTATATAATTTATATACAAATTGTATATAGAACAAAAATATATATATTTTTTTTTAATATTTCAAATTTCTTCTTATTTATTTTCAACATATTTCAAATCTTTTGTTGTAACTTTCATTTATTTTTTAAAATTTTATATCTTTCTTTATTATTATTTTTTTCATATAAAAAAGGGGTAATAAAAAAGAGGGTTTTGGTTAATTAAAATAATGAGGGAATAGGAAACAAGGTGGCAGTCAAAATGAAAAAAAAAAAGAAAGAAAAATATTCAGTATAGCGCTCCATTTAGAGCAGTAAAGAATTTACTTAATTTTGTTCTGTTGACAGGTTTAGTAAACAAATCGGCAACATTTTCTTCCGATGGAATATAGTTCAATTTTATGGTACCATTTTGAATTTCAGGAAATGGTACTTTATGTCTACGTATTTTGAACGTTGATGGTAGACCAAGTTCTTAGTAACAGCTCTGCTACCTTGATTATTGCAATAGATTGTAGCTTGCTCTTTTCTTAATTGCATTAATTATGGGTGGCTAATAGATGAATAAGGAATTTTGCTTCTTGTATTGCAGATGCAAACGCATGTTGACAATGCTACTGGAGGTTGCTTTTCGTTTTCCACGAAATCATTGAACTGTTTGGTAATAACTGGAAATTTTATCCTGTAATACTAAAGGCGGTCTTTTGAATTTTCCCAATCAGCATCACGAAAACCTTTTAATGTTAGTGGCTTATTCAATTTATTAAACACTAAGCAGTGTGTTTGGTGCTTTTCAGATAGCACAGGATTGGCTCTTACCAAGTGTTCCTTGCTCGGATTCGCGGAATATTGCCAGGTAACTTATATCTGGACGAGTGGCTTTCATAGCGTATATCAGGCTGCTAATTATCCCTCGGTATTATTTTCCGCCTGCTGGTTCAGCATTGATTTCGTCCAGTAGATTGATATCCATTTCACAAAGCGTTGATCGAGGTTTACAATCTTGCATTTCAAATTTGGTTAGAATCTT